ATATATATATATATATAGTAGTCTAGATGTTATGGATTAGCCCATCAAACCCTCTACTCGGATAAAGGACTCAATTAGGTTCATTTATTTATTTTTTTTATAACCAAACATTAAAAAAATAAAGGAGCTCAGGCTTGGGCATTCAAAAAAAAATTAACCCAGGTAAGTGGGCCTTCCAACCCACACGTCTAGGCTTTTTTTTTTCTAACAGGGGCAGATGACTCCATTTCATTTTTTTTTAAAATAAGATAGTAGACGACGCATTATCTTTTTTCTACCATTTGTTTACCTGAAACACTCTAAACACTTTAATAAATCTATATATACCACAAAAAACAAAAAACAAATAGCTTGAAAAATCAAAATCAACCCAAAACTACCAAATCGAGCAAAGAAGGAATAAAAACACCTAAGTTAAACTCCTCTTATGAAATAAAACTCATAGATACAAAAATTGACTATTTTTTTGTCAGAATCATTGACAACAATGAATTTCTCTCTTTACATTGAAATTTGGTAACCCTCTCTCTTTATTTTAACAAAAAATGATTGAAAAAATAAGGGATATAAAGTTTGACACCAAAATTGAATTTAGAAAAACTAAAGGGACCATTTACCAAATAGGTTAAAAAGATGAGGGACTTAAATTAACTTTTCAATTGAAATTCTAAGACGACATCTATTGCACTTTAGTCCTTTATCTTTCAATTCAACCTTTTCTTCTAAAAAAATTTAGAAAAAAATTTTGCGAACTAAATTAAAAAAATGATTGTTCTAATCTATAGTGATTGATGAGAAAGTGAATAATAAATGTTGCTATAGTAAAAATACCATAAGGCTGGGTGTTTGTTAATAATTTTGAATAAAGTCTCATATTCTAAAAAATAAAATATAAGGGCGTAATCAAAAGACCTCTAAAACAAGGGAGTTCGCCCTCTAGCTAGTCATGATCATAGGCCTGCTAGACCATGTCCATATGGTTTGGTTGGATTGCCCTCACTTGAAGAAATTATTAGAAGCATACTAGATAGGTGACTTGTATTGTGCTATGGGTCAATTAATTTTTTTCTAAAGTGGAAAAAGAATATCCAAGTGATGATAACCTAGTTAACCCTGATCAACTTGACAAACTCATTATCTACAATATGAGACTGGGATTAAAAAAATAAACTTTTAAAAAGAATCTAAAAAAAGATCAAAGTTAAATATATAAAGAAAAATTGAAAAACAAAGTCAAGTCACCATAGGTTAAATTGACTAACTTGTGACTCGATATAGCCCCACATAAAGAAAAGCAAAAAAAATTAAAAGGCTCAATAACATAACATCAAAGGATGAGATTAAAAAAATTAATTTAAAAAAAAATTGAGTTAACTTGACTAACCCACGATATGTAATATGAGATTAAGATAAGAAAATTAAATTTAAAGATAAAAGGTTTGGAAAAAAATACCAAAGCTAGATCAATAAAATGAACATTGAAGAAAAAATCGGGTTAACCTAGGTTACCTTAGCTAACCTGCAACCCGTGATAACCCACAAAAAGAAAAGAAGAAAAAATTATAAATCTCAAAGCCTAATAATTAAATATCAAAAGATGAAAAAAAAACATCAATGTAAAAAATTATAAAAAAAAAACCTAAGTAAATTTGAGCTACCTCGACTAACTCACAACACACAGTATGAGATTAGAATAAAAAAATAAATGTTTAAAAAAATAACCTAAAAAACCAAAGTTAAATCAATAAAAAAAACATAAAACAATTTGAGTCAACTCAGGTTAACTTAATTAACTCATGACTTGGGATAATCCCACTGAAGACAAGAAAAAACAATTACATAGCTACAAGTCCAATAACATAATCTCAAATGATAAAATTTAAAAAATAATAAAAAAAACAAAAAACATGATTTCAACTAAAATTAAACTAGTTAACCTATGATTCGAGATATATGGATCAAATTTGTTATAAAAATAGCAAAAAAAAATTTATAATCATTAAAAATTAATTAATAAATAAATAAATAGTAATTAATATCAAATTTGGTATAAAAAACTAAATGAAAAAAAGATAATTAGGATTAAACTGAAAAATAAAATAAATTAAGAATATGAAAAAAAAACAATAATCAAAAGAATAAAAATCAAACTTTAATACAAAAATTAAATCAAATAAAATATTGAGGCAAAAAATTAAAAAACATAAAAAAATAATAAATAAATAGCAATTAAAAGAATGATGGTCAAATAAGCTATAAAAAATAAATTAAATTACATTAAATTCTTAGAGATAAATTTTTTTAAAAAAACTTTAATAAGATTCAAAAGCAAAACAAATAGGAATCACAAGAATAAAAATCAAATTAGATAAAAAAAATGAAAAAAAAACTTATGTATTTTTACAAGGAGAAGAAAGAGAAAATGAAGAGGAGAAGAAAAAAGCTCATTGGAACCACATCAGTTGTTTGTCGCCACTATGTCCTCATTCATCAAAAATATTTTGGTGAGCCACTTTAAACACTATAACAGAAGATAGTATTTGGCTACAAGAAGAGTTCACACGTGCCTCTAAGAGAGCACAAGCTCTTTCCATTCATTAGCATGTGCATTGCTTACACCATCAATATATTTTTTTATATTTATTAAAAGATTAAATTTACTTTATTCAACTTGACAATAACTAAAAAATCAAGACAATAAAAAAAACAAAAACCTAGACAACAGCTATAGAATTTTTGCATTGAATGGTAATGTAGATATTTTAATATGTTTTTGAAATAGAAAATTGAAAAATACCCCTACATAAAAGTTATTTGGATTTTGTTTTTGATGGTAACCTACCCTTGAACTCAATGTTCAACAAAATAAAAATATCAAATAAAAATATTGATAAATTTATTTTATAATTAAAACTGTAAAATTTATTTTGTGTCTTTGTACTTAAAAAAAAAAATAATCACGCTCTATAACCTACTAAGTCCAAGTGTGTCTAAGCAAACAGTTAGGCCTACCGGCCCAATAATTATTATCCTTTTTGTTTTTAAAGGTGAAGTGTGTATGAGCTTAGCTTTGCTGACACTTCTCTTCTTTTTAATATCCTAAAATAATTTTTTTTTTCAAATAAATTTTAAAAAGCATATGATGATATCATTATTTCCAAATAAGGTTAGAGATTTTTAATAGTTATATTAGTAATTATTTTATGAAAAAATATTTATGAACCTGATATAAAAAACAAAACAAAAAATTGCACATGCATATTTAATGACAACACAGTATATATTTTGTTATTGTTAATTGTTTATATTTTCATGAATTAATTATTTCTTTTATTTTTTATTTCATATAAAAATTATGAAGACATGATTTTTTTTTATTTGAAACTTTCCTTTTAGATTATAGATTATGATAAGTTTTCATCTATAAAAAATATTTCTAATAAAAAAATATTTTTGTCGAAATAAAAAAACAGTGAATAAGGAAAATGGGATTTTGTCTTAAGAATATACTTTCCCTTCTAAATATAAATTATTGAGATTCTTGTAAATATTTATTTTTATTTTTTATTAAAAAACCAAAGTTGTTAATAAAAAAATTCTGTAAAAGAGATGTGTAAACAGAAAAAAAAAATTTAATTAAAAAAATAAACTTTTCCTTGGACTCTTTTAAATAAAAATTTATTTTAAGAAAATCCGTGGCATCTCGGCTCAGAAACTAATTTAGAATTTAGGACCGAGGAAGTATTAACTAACTATCATGAAACTGAGCGTAGGAAAATTGTTGGGATAATACTCTCATAATTTAAATAAAAAGAAAATGGGACCCCATGCAATGACAGATTCCAGAGATGACACAAACAAAATTAGCACAAGGTTCCTCCAAGTGAGGTGGTAGGTCGTCGTCGTCAATAAAAACAAATGGAAGCCCAGGCTCTTCCATGGCTTCCCAGTCCTTCAAGATGCCCAATTTATAACTTCCACCATCATAGATAATTATTTCCCACTTGTAATAAAATCTCCAAGAAATGCTCCTCTCCACTATACTTCCTACCAAACTTTGGCTGCCATTGCTTCTCACAAAAAATGACGTCAACGACGACTACTCTTCCCAAACCCACTTCCAAATCCTTGCTTCGTGGTCCTTCTATGCTTAATCAAACAAAACCCATTTCGTTGCTCCGGTTTCCAGCTTCGAAATCTGAGTTTTTTGGTTCAAAGAATAAAGCTCTGTCAAAGACCATGACTGAATTGGTCAGAACATCTGTTTTTAGAGCTAGTTATGGTGGTAACAGTGAAGAAAGTACAGGATCTTTTCAGCAAGGAGATGTTATTCACGGGCCTGATAAGTTTCAAAGTGTGCTCCTGGCTGGTAGACTGGAAGCCACTCTCAATTGCCTGGTTTGTGTTTTTCTCTGTTCGTTTGTTACCTCTTTCAAGAGATTTTAATCTTTGTAATCTGAGTTGCGTTTTTTTTTTTTTTCCTTCATGATTTTATTAGTCTTTTTAATAATCACTATGATTTAATGTGTTGATTCATTGGAGCTGAAAGTCTTCAAATTTAGTAACGCGGGACCAAAGAGACTTGAAGCTAAATAAAAGAGAAAAAAGAAGCTAAGAAGAATTAGTCAAAGAAAGACAAGAAAAAGCTGAAAATAAGATATAAATACTGAAATTCTAACTATAATAAATAATTAGGTTTATTGTCTATTAAATAAAATACATAATAATAATAATTAAATCAAGTTCATCAAAAAAAAATTTAATTAATAAATCTCAAATAAAAATTCAAATAAATTAAACTAAAATATAAATTAAAATCCAACATTTCAACAATTTAAGATATCCTTAATAGTCTATAATAATACAAGTGTGTAATCAATGTGTAATGTTTGGTGTCTCCACTCGAGTTTCTTGACTCCATTGATTGTAATTCAAGAAGGCTCTAATAATGCTCCTAAAAATTATAATCAAATTGTTATAATATCTCACTAATAATTCAAATATAGTTTGTATTTAGTTGTTTATCTCATATATTAAGATTCGTTGAAGTTTATTATCCCTCGTAAAAACAATTCAGGCATCCATAGTTACATTAATATGTTCTTTTTGTCAAAAATAGAATTAATATCAATGTTTGATGGTAGTTTAATGATATAATTTTTTTTATCCAATTATTTATAACACTTTGAATGGTTTAACATTACTTATTTAAAATTTGTAATTGGATTTCAAGGGACATCGTTCAAGGCTAATCTATATTACAAAATAATCTCCAATATTAAGTACATCATAATAGTTGTGTAAATTAGCTTAAACTTTGTATTGTTCATTACTTTTTTTAATTTTTTTTATCTTAACATGTAAATTATAAACTCTACATGCAAAATACTTAGTTGAATTAGATAATTTAAAATGAGAAGATATGGAAAGAAAATCTGCAAGTGTTCTAAGTTCGTAACTATGAACAATATATGACTAATGGTGTGGAATGGTACAAACACTATTCAAAATCTTAGTAAATATAGTTTAAACATAGCCTGATAAATTAAGTTTATCTTCATCTTTCTCATCACGTGTCAGAGGCAAGAGATCAAGCAACTCATTATGTTACTCTAAACCTATGATGTGTTAGATATCAAGTATAAGGAGGTGAGGAGCATGTTACTCTAAACCTTTTACTTGTTGGACATCAAGCATGATGAGTGAGGAATCAAATGGTTTGAGATGACTAATATTATGAGACTTTTATAAGATTATATTTATTTATTGGGGAAGTTCCACTAAAGTTTTTCCTAAAACTTCTATCTTTACCACTAAAGAAGAATTATTATTTTCTTTATTAATCTTATTTTTAGACTCATTTAAACTTATAGTGTTAATTCTCTTTTCTTACACATTCTCTTCATCTAGGTCACTAAAATTATTAAGATTGGGTTCATACATTTACACATAATAGTTTTTCTTTTCACTTATATCCTTATGTTTTTAGATGACTAAAGGATTAGAGGCGTAGTTGAAAAAGATATGTTCAAAACCTTGACAGTTAACACACTGACATTTTATTAACGACTCTTTTTATAAATTTAGGCACTACTAGGATTAGGTCTATATGATGGAGAACCTAACAAATAACCATCATTCCTAAATTGAGATCTAAAAGGTGTATTATGAGGGTTTTGATGTTTTATCCATTAACTCTTTATAATTAATCATAATTTTGCACTACAATATAGGTTTAGTTAAGAGTGAAAGCACATAAGAGTCTAATCTCTTTTCTAAAATTATCATTTAAACCTTTACAAAATTTATGCAAATTTATGGCTTCTGCCTCTCTTATAATACATCTCATCATGTAATAATTTAATTATGTTATATACTCATTGACAAACTCTATCTTCAAAACTGAAATATGTCATTACTAGTAATAATCATGTCATCAACATATAAAGACAGAATGATATAACCTGCATCAGTGCATTTAATAAAAAGAGCAAAATCATGACTACTAGAAACAAAGCCAAGAGATGAGATCACAATAGAGAATTTCTCAAACGAAGCACAGGGTGCTTGTTTGAGACCATATAATGCGTTCTTAAGCTTACAAATGTATCCGGAGTCATGTGAAACACCAGGAGGAGGTGCCATATAAACTTCTTCTTAAAGATCTCCATTCAAAAAGGTATTTTTAACATTAAGCTGAGAAATAGGCTACTGATGAATCGAAGCTACTGTAATAAAAGAACAAATAGTAGTCATTTTTGCAACTGGGGCAAATGTCTCCTCATAGTTCATACCATACTGTTGAGAGTATCCTTTTGTAACCAGCCAAGTTTTGTATCGCTCAATAAAGCTATCAGAATTAGTCTTGATCTCATACACTCAATGACAACCAACAACACTCTTACCAGGAGGTAGAGGACCCAGATCTCAAGTATCTGTCTTATATAAAGTAGAAAGTTCCTCATCCATAGCTTGCTTCCAAAGCGGTTCAAGAATTGCCTCTTTATAGGAAGATGACTCATAGAGATAATGAATAGAAGCTAAAAAGGAAGTAAATGATGAAGAATAATAAGAATAAGCAAAATCTAGTAGTTTTGTAGACTTACGAATGCGGATGGACTAATGTCGAGGTGGATCCACAATCTTAGATGAAGCTCGAGGAGCTATAGATGTGAATGGATCTTCAGGTGTGCCAAAGAGTAAAGCACCAGTACCTGCAGAGTTATGAGTACAAATTGATTGAACATGGGGAGAGGTATCATTACTAGAATCCTCAGAAAAGGGATCTATATAAATAATATCATATTTAGTCAGGTTATAAGCAATGGATGGAATAAAAAAGAAAGGTATATGCTCAAGAAAGACAACATGACGCGACACATAAAGTTTTTGAGTTATTGGATCAAAACAACGATACCCCTTTTTACCTTCACCATAACCCAAAAATACACAAATAGCGGATCAAGATGATAACTTACTGCATTTTACATAAGGATAAAAAACAAAATAAGTACAACCAAAGACTCTAAATGAGGAATAATCAGGGACATACCTATATAACTTTTCAAAAGGAGACAGACCCAAACTCTGAGAAGATGGAATTGTATTAATCAAACTTACCGCAGTAAGAACAGTTTCTCCCTAAAACTCACTAGAACAAAAGAAGACAACAAGAGAGAACGAGCAGTTTCAACAATATGCCTATGTTTTCTTTCAGCAACACCATTTTGTTCATGAGTATTTGTACATGAAGTTTGGTGGATGGTTCCATCTAAGGCAAGCAATTGGCAAAATTTATTAGAGGTGTATTCCCCCACCCAAATCACACATAAAACATTTGATTACAGCAAAATATTGAGTTTTGATAAGAGCTCAAAAAGCTACATATATCTTAAAGAATTATGAATGATGTTTCATTAAATAAACCCAAAAATAATGAGTATGATCATCAATAAAAGAGACATAATATCGAGACCCTTTTTTTGTGGCAACATGAGAAGGTCCCCATACATCAGAAAGAATCAAATCAAATGGTGAAGAAACAGAAATACTTTGATTAAAAGGTAAAGCATAAAATTTTGCCAATTTACATCCACTATAATCAGAAATGTCACAAGTTTTCAAATTTTCTAAAGCTCATATGGATATCAAAAATCTCAAACGAGAAGATGAAACATGACCTAAATGGGAATGCCATAAATAAAAACTGGAATATAAAAAACTTAAATAAAAGGAAGACAAATCAATAGTAGTAGTAGTAGTAGCAGCAACGGTAGCAACTAGCACTTTTAACTCATCTAAAATATATAGTTCATTCTCCCTACGACCTGTCCCAATCAGCTTTTGAGATTGTAAATCCTGCACACAATAAAAAAACTAGAAAACATGATTAGATAATCACCAGAACCACATATTTGACCAATAGACATAAGATTCAATTTGAGTTTTGGAATAAAATAAACATTAAGGAGAGACAAGTGAGGTATGACAACAGAACCAACACCTGCTAAGGACATAGGAGTGCCATCAACAGTCATAACAGGAATGAAGGATAAATGGGACTTGAAGGTAAAAGATGACGAATCTGGAGACATATGATAGGAAGCACTGGAATCTAAGACCTATTCAGAGTGTGACATACCTGAGGAATTATGAGGTAACTGACTTATGGAATAAGAAGCAGACATTGCTTATAGCTGTAAGGAGAGAAACTTCTAAAATTGTTCAGCCAAAGTATTAGGATCGGTAATAGAGCCTGGGAAAGCTATTGCTGCAGTATTATGGTGTGGTGATTTATAACCCTGAGGTGGTTTATACGCATTAGATTATGACTACCAAACTTCCAAGCTTGATTTTACTATCTCAACTTAGGACACTAAGCCTTTCAATGACCTTTCTGCTTACAGAAACTGCACTCGTTGAAGCCAATCCTTGTGTAAGGCTTGTTGCTTGACCGCTTTTTATGATCGGCTTGTTTTAACTCGCAAGTGCACGAGTGTGCGATGTAGCAATTAACTCGGTAAGATCGAGGTCATATCCACAGAGAGCTAGATCTGGAAATTAAGCTAAGTAACAAAAAAAAAACTCAAGAGAAATTAAATTAACAATAACTTGGTTGAAAATAATTGATGGATTTGTTTTCAAAGATAAAAAAAAAAATGTAAATAGATTTTAAATGACAAGAAAAGTAAGTCTTGGTCCAAATCAATTTTAATGGTGATGTATTGGTGATTTCTTCAACATATATAAGATAACTCAACCTAATATCAACGATGATGATATTAGATCAGAAGATATTACAATGAAATTTAAAAGGATGAAAATTGATTATTGCTTAAGAATGAACAAGTACTTTCATATTAAGTAAGACATTGAATCAAGCAATCTCTATACCAAAA